TAGTAAACTTTAATTTGTATTTATATAGAATCTCTTGTGTATTGTTTTTCATGATAATATTACATGAATGATAGTACAGTTCACGCTACAATTGCGTGACTAATACTTGAAGGATATATTTGTTTTATGATGTATAAAAGAATATGGTAATAGAATATTTAGATATTACATATATAATTGTTTATTTAAAAAATTAGTATCAAAAAATTACATTAACAAAAAAAATTAATGTGATTTTTATGCTTTTAAAATCATTGTGCATATTTCGGGAGCACATAAATTGAGGAATATTTTAAGACTAAAACCAATTTGCTACCTGTAATTTAACTGGTTAGGTACTCTTGTACGTATGGGGTACTCACGTTCAGGTCGGTCGAAGGGGATAAGCACGAAAATTTCATTGTGCATATTTCGAGAACACATTAATCGAGAAACATTTTAAGACAAGAATTATTTCGCTTTCTCTATTTTAACTGATACTTTATTCTTATATCAGTAGTATATATATCTTTTTTTGCGTATATTTTTTAAACTATTACAGATAGACTAATTTTGTTTGAGGCATTTGAAAGCACATAAAAAGCATATAATTCTAGCATATTGAGTTTTTTATTTTATATGTAATTTTAATGAGTGGGGGTGCTAGCTTACGTTAAGCCAGCACCCTCAGTTTCAATTGCAATTTCCCACGAAATCGCTCGAGCACAAAAATCGTGAATAGAGCACATAATTAACGCATAAAGATCACTTAATTTCTGCATATGTGTTACTCCGGTTTTTTATGGAGGGTGCTAACTTAACAGACATAAATACATTATATTACTTTTTTACCTTTTAAGATTTTTTCCTTTGTTTACGGATGTTTGCAAATCTAAGCTATTCCATTATAGAGTGTTCCAAGTCTTTCTCTGTATTACAAGGGATTGTTGTCTAATAGCCTCTAAAACAAGAAGAATTCAATATAGTTTAGATAAGAAAAAGGTTGTAATTTAATATATACATAATTTAATTATAATAAGCAGCTTTACTTACGACTTGTGTAAAAGCTTCTTGGTCGTCTTTTAGCATTTCTAGTATCTTGTACAGAGTTTTCCTTATAATATATTGTTCACTGATGTTTATCTTAGCCAGGGTCAAATTTTTCAAATGGTGGTTTTTTGAATTTGATACAACAATTGATCCCATATGTTAAGACATATTCATTGCCCTGTACATATAAAATATGCTTACAATAATCTATTTATATACTTTAGAGTGTGATTATAGCACATATATGTGAAAAAAATATAAAAATAAATAAAAAGTCAGTTTTGGTCTTGTTTGTACTGATCGTTTGTTACATATCTATCAACTTTATACCAATTTTATACTAAATTACTTTTACAGTGATATATGCAAACAATGATGTATTAAAGCCACACAATACTTCAACAAATCGTCTTCATGCATAGTGTACCAGCTTATTTATACGTTATCATTTACATATTTCGCTAAATTTTGAGGTTATTTTATAGAAAGTTACACTGTTTTGTACCATTGAAATAATAGCATTGACGAACCTTGATGATATTTTTAATGTCCAAGGACAAATCTATTATAGAACGTAAAAAAATTAATTGATATTTCCTCTCTTTTGTAAATCTCTCTTGTAAATCGGAAAATGAATCCTACATCACCAGCTACTATTCATAGCACAAATAATTATAGCACGTATATGGTTAATTGAATTCTTATCATACAACTTTTAGAATATAATAGTTACTACTTATATATAATTATGCTGTAAATAAAGAGCACTCCGCACTCCTCGATTGACACACGTGTATACGCACTCACGCATCGTATGTAGAATAATCATGTACATCATGGCTGTCGCGATGAGCGTTGCGCACAATATAAAACGATAACATTATAACAACAGAAAATTAATATACTACCAACGTTATTTCTGAGTCCAAATTACAAGGAATTTTGAACTGTTGCATTGATCTCAAATAAATGTCAGAGTAACATTTGAAAAATATTTTCTGTAACGTTTTCAAAATATTTTAACAACATTCAGAAAAATCATATTACGAAATAATATTTTTCAAATATGTGTATAATATTATTAAAAAACGTTTAAAAAATACACATAAAGTCAATATTTCTAAACGTTAATTTAATGTTCCTTGCTTACTGGGATATATGGCTACACATTGTTCATAGATGTGGCCAATACAACTGTACGTCACATTGCTCAATACCGACCCTACATTTTAAAGCATTCGGTTTGTTTATGGCAGAACTATCCCATGAGGATCCAATTAATTAACATGTTTAACGCCCCGTTAATCTTCAATATTACTGCGAGGATTTTAAGATCTTTCATGACTGAGAAGTTGAAAAACAGATTCAATGTCTACTCAGACAGTACGATGCATAACTGTTTGAAGGATATTCCAGCCAACATCTTGCCCGTCGAATGTGGCGGCACTGATGGTACAATCCAAGAATTAACAGGTAATTGCGATAAATTAGAATGTAATAAATATAACGCGTTTAGTGAAAGAACGTTTTTCTTATTAAACTAATATGTGTTGAAGAGAAAATAAACTTCTCTCATCTAAGATTGCAGTAATTTCGAGCAGTCGTACATTAACTAAAAGTTTGTCAATAGTTCACATAATCAATTGTTCATATATGTGTCTAAACTGACGTCAACATTATATAATTCAATTTATGTAAACACTTATTTTTGCAGAATACTGGAAGAAACTGATCGAGGAGAATCGCGACTCGCTTTTGAATGAGAACGCCTTGCGAATGAGGAAAATGACGAAATCATTACAAAACTCTAGAATCAACAAAAAGTACTAGCTCTTTAAACACATGTATAGATGTACTTATTATCGTTATATAGCTCGTAAGTTTTGTCTGTTTTGTGTTTTGAGATATAAATAATTATCTTTTTTTTCTTTTTCTGCGCAAATAGACTTATCGGTAATATAAAATTTTTAAGAGTCTTACAGGTGGACTTTAAAGGCGGTTACGGGGATCTTGAAAGGCTCAGCAACGCTAGAGGACGTTTGCTTTTATAGCGAGCTTGATTTTCTTTTACCAAATATATGTCGCGCTTTGTTGTGTCCTTTACGGGTGTGTTGTAGGGAAAATAAATTTTTTCAGTCTTTCTTTTATTATGCAGAATATAATGTATGCAGATGTATAAAATTAAGCTTTTAGTTCAAATTCTTTGCATTCTTAAATTAGGAGAATAAGAAGATAAATTCGCTCTACTCGCTTTGCAACTTTTAGAACTCATTTTCCTTACATTGTTTTACATTTATCTTTTTAACTGTAAACATTATATATATACATACTTTATAAGTAACAATGTAATTATAATTTCTAAATATAAGTTTATTTTATACGCACATTCTGTTTATGTATTATATAAACGATCAAATGCATGTTACATTGCAATACATTTAGAAATTGAAGTGTCTTCGTGTCGCTCAAGAATGAGTAGGAAATATCCATCAAGGTCGTCTATTGTCTAATCGAATCATAGTTATCATAGTAAGACTGCATGTTTGGCGCAATTTCTGAGTACCAAGTTCAATAATTTCAAAGATGTACATTGCATGTTGTATCGCGTTATTTGTCATGTTACATAACACTAAACATCGGGCGGCAGTGTGGTCTAGTGGTAGAGCGCCAGACTCGTAATCTGAAGAACCAGGTTCGAGTCCAATAGAACCATGAAGCATGGAATGTTTTTCCGATAGCTGCGCCCCTCCATGCAAGATAGGCTCTTGTGCGGAGAAAACTGGGCTTCGTCTTTTAGGAAGAGACGTTAAGCCGTTGGTCCAAAGGGTTAAAGTGAGAGGAGAAGGATAGTATTGGTAGTAGATTGCGAACCCTGCGGGGATATGCAATAATTTACGAGTTTTACAGAAATTACATAACACTAAACATGATTGCATTTATCTTATTTCACGCGTGATAGTATGTCTACGCGATTTGCAGACACGAGTCTCTCCCTGGAAGTAGAGATTCCAGATTCTCAGTATGCGCCGAGTAAGGTCATCCTATTAGGGAATTTTAGAATCCGATATACCTTCTAGTCCCTCTTTGGAGACCACGGGGGGACATCCGAGTTCATCAGTGTGACTATCGTCACGATAGCAAAGTCACTGTATGACGGCACCTTGAAGTTAAGACACTACTTGTTGCAGAAACATTATATTTTTATGCAACACGCATTAAAGTATCGCGTACGACTTTTCTTTTATCATGAAAGATCTATCAGCGATTTTGCCAAAGGCTCAATAATGCCAGGAAGTATTTAATTTTGTATAAAATAAATTGTTTAGTTTTATTTTAACCGAATAATAAAGTATTTTACCTTGTTAAATGTTAAAAGAAGAAATTTAAACTAATACTTTGAGTTAGATAACATTTTGTTATTTTTAACTACCATGTGCGTCAAAATTTATTATTTTAAAACAAAATAAGCTTATTTTAACTCCATTGGTTTAGTCAAATTAACATTGTTTTAGTTAAGTTAACTACATATTGAGTAGGAGAGACAGAGTTTGTCGGTTTGATTGTTTGTCCTCGATGATCTCGGAAACCAATGGACCGAATTTTTACCAAAAAGATATGAAATAGGAGTAGAATTTCCCGGGGAGTGTCATTATGTGTATAGTTTTTTGTTACCAACTTTCTGAAAACTGGTTTTTTAATTTTTCGAGAAATAATTGACCGAATTTTAAAGAATTGTATATAAAACAGGGGTAGACAGTTATTTTTCGAGAAATAATTGACCGAATTTTAAAGAATTGTATATAAAACAGGGGTAGAATTTCTCGGGGAGTGCCATAAAGTGTATAATTTTTTGTTACCGATCTTTTTGGAAGCCGGTATCAGAAGTTTTTCGAATTTTTCGGGAAATAATTGATTGAATTTTAAAGAATTGTATATAAAACAAGGGTAGAATTTCCCGGGTAGTGCTATAAACTGTATAGTTTTTTGTTACCGATCTTTTTAAGAACCGGTATCTTTTTGGAAATCGGTTACAACATTTTTCAAATTTTTTAGGAAATAATTGAGTAAATCTTAAAGAATTGTATATACGACAGAATTGAACTTTAGTCAATAAAAAAGTAATATTTTTCAATTTATAGCATTTTAGAGAGAAAGAGAGAGAGAGAGAGAGAGAGAGAGAGAGAGAGAGAGAGAGAGAGA